CGGAAAAAAGCAATTCACTCATTCATTCAAAAAATGGGGAGACAACAACAACAGCAGCAGCAGCAGCAGCAGCAACGTGGCATAGTTGTTGCCTTTGTAATTGTTGCTTTGGCCAAACCGCAAAATGTTGCTGCTGTTGGTCTGTAAACATGTTGCTGACGGTAGCTGTTGCTGCTGTTGCCTGTTGTCTCCTTTTACGCTTAGCTAAATAAATCAATCTTGGCAGCATTGTTGTTGCTGCTGTTTGCAGCAGTTTTATGAATGAAAAGTTGCTGCTGCTAGTTGCTGTGGCTACGTATTGCTGCTGAATGTTGCTGCTGCTACTGCTTATTGTTGCTGTGTGTGCGTATTGCTGCCGCCTGTTGTTGCTGTTGCTGTTTTGCACAATTTTTAATGAATGACAGCTAGCAAGCAAGCAACAGCAACAGCTACAGCAGCAACAATTGCTCGTAGCTTGTTGTTGTCTGTTAATTACGATCCAGTTGCAGTTGCTGCTGCTGCCCCAAACACGACAATTGTTTTGTTTAATGAACACATGCCCAGTTGCTGCCGTTGTTGATGTTGTTGTTGCTGCGCGCACGCGGTTTTTATGAATGAATGAATCAACAACAACAACAACAGCAGCAGCAGCAGCAGCAATACGCGCCCTGTTTGCGTATTTATAGTTATTTATTTTTGCTGCCGTCGCCAGACGTTGTAAACAATGCGCCTTTGGCACGTAATTAGCACACTTACAGCGAGCAGCACCAGCAACCGAATTGGAACGTGTCCGTCAATAACTGTAACAAGATCTTGACTGAAACGGAAACTGTGCTACTGCAGCCACATTTCCGCTAGCTGTTGCTGCTGCTGCTCCCAGCAACATGTCCCAATAGCAATCGCATACGCATATGTATTTACGTTTTTCTTCTTTTGCTTTATCAAAAATTGTTACAAGTATGAAAAAAAAGTTGACTTGGCGCGCGCGCCAGTTCCAAAACTTGAGCTGATTGCCTCGAGAAACACGACAGCAACAACAGCAGCAATAGGTGCAACAACAACAATAACAGCAATATATATATATATATATATATATATATATATATATATATATATATATAAATATATATATAAAAGTGGGCAAACTAGTTTTATGGCATCCAAGCATCCGTTGGCTCAGGTTGTAGCAGCTCTGGCTTTAAAGCATTTTTTTTCTGAATGGAGCTCCACTGTAAAAATTGTGAACTGGAATTTTTTGTAAGTTATTATTATTGTTGTTGTTGTTTTACGTGAATAATTGTGCTATGTCGTAGCTGCTGCTGTTGTTGTTGTTGTCATTGATGTTGCTGTTGTGCGTTTTATGCTAATGCTTTGGACATTATTAAAAATATGTTTGCTCATAAGTACACTGCAAGAAAACTGCTCATTTGCTGTCAAATATATAATTTCTTTATTTTTTAAATAATTATTAGGCATTTTCGCTCAGTGTAGGACATGGAATACAACTTTGCTTAGGCTGCTTTAGCTCTCGCGTGTTTTAAGTTTTTTGTATTATTTTTTTGTGCATTTTAAATATTTTTTCGTGCAGTGCGTGATGTACTTTATGAAAGCTAATACGCCTTTGCTTTCAAATCAAAAATCTGAAAATTAGTTTTAAATTTTATTTTATTTATTTTTTATTTATTTTAGTTTTTACATATACTTTAGGGTATTTTCTCGCAGTGTATGTGTTAACTAAATTTCAAAAATGTTTTTAGTTTACTTAAAATTTTGTTGCTATAAAATCTTTTTTCCTATGTTAATTTTCGCTCAGTGTATGATATATGCCAACCACAATCGCTGCTGCTGATGTTGTTGTTATTGTTATTGTTGTTGTCTACTCTCTTCATTCATTCATTCATTTTTTTCTGTTTATTATTTTCTTGTTTTCGCTTTGAATCGCATTGAATAATTTCTAAATTTAGCATAAAAAACATTCCCCGGCGTGAAAGGCAAAGAGAGAGAAAAAACTAATAAGAAAAATTATGAAAGAATGCAAAAAAAAACAAGAGTCGTAATACGAGAGCCAACGCTTGGAGCTGGCATAAAAAGCTAGACGTGCGCTGTAAGTCGTGATCAAAATCGTGATCAAGTCGTGATCGTATCGTGATTATGGCTTAACGTGACTTCCACATCGAAGATGATTTAGCTACAAATCAAATAGCACACGACGACCTTCAAGCTAGCCTAAACAGAAACAAAAACAAAAACAAAACACACCCATAAACTGAGGTACAGTGTGACCTGGCTGTGGCTGTCATAAATTCAGCTTTATTGTGAATGAGATTAGCATAAAATATGTTGAATGTAAAGAAGATGGCGAAAAAAATCATAGTTGTAGCTATTGTTGTTCCCAACTAGATAAGAAAAAGTAGGGCGTGGCGCGCTGTCGATAAACAACTGTAGATCACGCATTGCGCATACGCACAGTCGGCCGGCGCGCTGTGTATAAAAAACGACATAAAAATGCCGTTTTCACACCTGGCTGGCATTGACAGCCAACAGTAACAATAAAAGCACCCACGTGGCCGTCTAGCTGTCGCTCTGGCTGTCCCTCCGTCTGTCTCTCTGTCTGTCCCTCCGTCTGTCTGTTAGTTGAGCCATGTTTATGCCTGATTTGTTTATGCATTTCTCAGTCAATTGAAATTCTTTGAAGACTTTTGCTATCTCTTGGCCAAGAATTTAACAGCATGTCATTCATGTTGGCAGTAGCCGGCAGCCAGCAGCAGCATCTCGACTTTTCGACGCTTTTTTAGACATGCCACGCGCACTGCGACGAAACTCTGTCGGTTGTTTAAGCCAAATATGCGTAGCTGATCTGCTTGTATATGGCTAACAAATCAGTTTTGTTGTTGCTGTTGTTGTTGCTGTTGTCCATTCAAACATTTGGACGCTCTGTCGCTTTGCCATTCATTCATAGATTGACTTGCTCAGCGAAGCGAAACGCAGTCACTGTCAGCGTCGGCGTCGCAGTCAGCTTTGGCGTCACCGTTGCCGTTGCCGCTGCCGTCATTTTACGTTTTCATTCATACGTCTCCACCCCGTCGTTTGTTCACCGGCTCGCTCGCTCCTTCTCACTCCTATTGCTGAAGCGTCACAGTTCTCGCTCATTCCATTTGCCCGCTTCGTCGTATTTCATTCATGAATTTTCTTTCATTCAGCTTTGGTCGTCGCCCCTCTCTACACCACCACAACCTCTCTCCACTACTCTACACGTCTCTCGCTTGCACACACGCACATATACAAGCATCTCCCTGTTGCTTGCTGCGCTTCTCATTCCTGTCTGTTCTTCTGGCTCTTGATGTTGTTGTTGTTATTGTTGAAATCATTTTTAAATACCGGAACTGAATGTTTAGCGCTTTTAAGCATGGGAACTTTTTGTTTTCTTCTGCATGAAGAAAAAACAACTTTAGATTGCTCTCTCTTTCTCACTCGCGCTCACGTACTCTTCTCTTACTATTTCCAGCGCTTGTTTTTGTTCTTCGAACAGGAATTTTTTGGCTTTTTTCTATTTTAGGTGTTGTTCTTATGCCTTTGCTTTGGGTTATTTTGTTTTTTATGCCCGTTCAAAATTTATTGCAGACATACGGATTTTGAAATTTATGGGACAGCCATAGCGGGAGCTATGCGTGTTGCGCCTGCTTTTGCCGTTGTTCTTGTTGTTGCTGCTTTTTTAGGTGTTGCGGTCTAGCTGAAACTCTGAGATGTGTGTCAGGGCAACGAGAGTTATGATCGATTCTATTGGGTGTACGGCCAAGTCTAAGCGCATTTAATTAAGGATTTTATATTCGCTTGATAAGCTTGATACAAATAAGTGAGATCTACGCATATTTAGATCATTTAGATCATTAACATTTCTTATATGAACTAAATATGAAGAGACTCTAGATACATTTATAGCAAATATTGTGAAATATCTTTAATGTTAATTTTAGTTATGCTTATTTTTTAAATTTTTGTAATACTAGAAAACCCAAAATTATATAGAAATCTTTTTTATTTTAATTTTTTTATAAGTTATATAATATTTGCTTTACTTAAGGATATACACAGTTTTTCGCTCAGTGCACACATGGAGAAATATTGTTTAAAAACTAGATTCATTGCATTTGTATAGTTTTTGTATTAAATTCGTTTACAAAGTCATATGAAGGGCTTTATTATGATCTTCGTGCCTGTCTTTTCTCGCAGTGTATTGCAAGTCTCTCTCTGTACTCTTTGGCTTGTTTATAGTGTCAATATTATCGTGCGGATTGCTGTTGATATTTCACGCCTCATGACAACTAGGGAGTGTTTTTCAATATTTTTCAATGGATTGGCCATATGATCTAAGTTCCGAGTGTACAGTGAAACAATTGTAGCTGCGACAGCGCATGTTTCGCTGGAAAGATTCGTATCTGAGCCGAACTTGGGGCGCAACTTGGCTTAGTCATTGTTCGTGCCTCATATTGAACTGCTGACCCGCAGCGCTAATTGGTTCATAAGGTATCGCAATTGCTCAACTGAGCTGAGCTTAATTGATCAAATGCGACGACAGCAACAGCAGCAATAGGCGAAGCAACAAACAACTTTCATTTTTCATATAAAGCAAGCGATGTTGCTGCTGTTGCTGCTGCGGTGGCTGCTGCAGCTGCAATTAAGTGTGTGCCCCGTTTTGGTGGGTGTCAAGTGTAATGGCTTTTAAAGAACGTCAATCTCTATAGGGCGGCAGCTAAATATAGACAAAAGCCCAAAGCCAGTTATAGCCGCAGCCTCCAAACCTGCTGCTGGCGGCTTTTCTTTGCTTCTTCTTACAGCTGCTCGCGTGGGCTTAGCGCAGTCAGTTACAAATGGCAATAACAACAGAGACAAGTAGCTGGCTAAAGCAGGTGTTGCTGCTGCTGCATTATGCAATCGCTATGCAAAAGGCGCAGCAGCAACTGTTGCTGTTGCTCAATTAGCTCGCTCTGCCTACCTCCCTCCCGCTCCCTCTTGCTACTTACCCCAACTTGATAGAGTATGCGCAGATCCTTGCCGCTGCGCGCATGCTTAGTGCTGCTGCTGGTGGCTCTATGTTGCTGCTGCAGCATTTGGCGCGCGCGTCTGCCCATAGCAGGCTGCGGCGCTGGCTGCTGCTGTTCCGCTGAGACGCTGACCACATCTACAGTTAGCGGCTTCTCGCTGCTTGGTCGCGCTGTGCTGCTGGTGGTAGTTGTTGCTGCTGCTGCTGCTGTCTTGGCACCTGTTGTTGTTGTGGCTGTTGCTGTGTCTTTGGCATCGTAGATCGCATACTCCAGGCTCTTGAGCTTGGCCTCACTCTCGGCGCTGCTGGCCGTTGGCGTCAGCTCGTAAACCTCGAGCGGCAGTCGCGTGCCCTGTGCGCCGCCTGTCAACAGCAGCAACAGCAACGGCAGCAACATAAGCCGCAGCAGCAACAGCAGCGACTGCGCACGTATGCTGGCCATGGGTGTGTGTGTGTGTGTGTGTGTTTGGGTGTGTTGCTGCGGTTGTTGTAATTGACACTTTTTTTTGTGGGCAACAGCAAAGGTTGTTGTTGTTGTAGGCAAATCGAAACGTTGATTGTTTATGTATATTATTTATATATATATATATATAGTTATGTATTGGCTGTATCTGTTTGTGCTTTGGCTATGGTTGCAATTGGCTTTGCTAGTTTCGAATTAGCCTTGGTCAGCAGCAACAGCAGCAGCAGCAGCAGTGGCAGCAGCGACTGCCTGGCTCACTAGCTGGCAACATGACAACACGCAACACAATCAATTTACAGGGTATTAAATAGGTTTGCTATAGTAAACTATTGTTGCTGCACTCGCTGTATGGGCATATATTATTTGTTATATATTTGCGTTCACAACACGCGCTTCGAACTCTCGGAATTTTGAACGTGTTGTTGCTGTGGCACGCGGTCGCGTCTGCTCGTCGCAAACTCACAATTCGAACTGATCAAACAGCAAAACGAGCGACAACAACTTCAACTGCTGCTGAGCGTATGGCGCGCCAGTGAGCGAACGAGCGAGTGTGTGTGTGTGCGTGTGTGTGTGTGTGTGTGTGTGTATCTGTGTGGCCAAGACTTGAATGAACGCACACACACTCTGCCAGCAGCAGCAGCAGCAGCAGCGACTGCGACGCAATGAATGAATGAATGCGGCAAGCAGCGCAGCATCCCTTGCCTCTGTGTGAGTGTATTAGTGTGCCTGCGTGTGTGTGTGTGTGTATCTATGTGCCTGCAGCCGGCTCGCGTGCTGAGCGCTTGCCGTTCTGCTGGACGTTTGGGTTGGGTTGCATCCTTTAGCCCGTTTTTGCTGCTGTTGATTTTATTTATTTTTATTTTTATTTTCTTGTTGTTGTTTTTCTGTTTGTGTTTTTTTTTGTCATTTTTACTACGACCGGAAACTAATTCCTGCCCAGCGACATTGTCGGGCTGCGTGTTGTTGCTGCTGTGGGTTTTTTGCTGGCCTCAAGCGCTGCTGTTGCTGCTTGTTTCATTTCGCGCGCATGCCAAAAAATAAGCCAGCAACGACAACAACAGCAGCAACAACATCTCCAACTCGTCTTCAGCTTAAGTGGCCAACACACACAGTTCAAGCGAAAAGCGAAAAGCGCGCGCTTCCACAGAAAGCCCGCCAATTTTTTATGGCTCCAGCGATAAGATTTCGTTTCAGTTGCCATTTCCACTTGGCCAAGCTCCAGCTGGGAGCAAGGCTATGTCGCAGCCTCTATAACTTTACTTTTGCTTCAATTTAAATACTTAGCTTAAGCCAAAGGAAAGCCCAATTTGGCCAATATCTTTTAGTCAAAAGTTGTTGTCTTTCAACTAACTTCTAGTTATCTCTTAGTAGTTATGAGTCTTATCATTAGATTTGCTGTCTATATATGTGCCATGGAAAGGGCATTTCAGCAGGCAGGCAGCTGTAGGCGTGGCAGACAGTTTGTAGCTGTAGATCTTAGATCATTGAAGAGTTTAAGAGAAGTTATTAAAGTCTAGCATTAAGTAGTCCAGCGTGGACTGCAAAGGAGTCTATATAGTTGCTTTGCCCGCTAAAGAATTGAGCAGAGTATATTGGTTGTATGTAAGGCTTGTGCTTGTTAGTGGACCGATCTACAGATCTTTCTGGTGAAGCTATTAACTTGATACTTGATATAGTCTACGATATACTCTGCCACAACTATAGAGAGTTAGGATCAGCGAAATGATCAAGCTCCTCTATAGATCATTCATGTGATCTCTGCCTCAACTATAGAGAGTTAGGATCAGCTAAGTTGTCAAGCTTCTTTACAGATCTCTTGATCTATGATCTCTAATATGATCTTTAACATGATCTCTTATATGAAAATATCAAATGTGTCATAGATTTAGCTCTTTGCCATGATCATAGACCTATATATATGATCATCTATAGATCACTTATATGATCTCTGCCACAATTATAGAGAGTTAGAATCAGCGAAGTGATCAAGCTGCTCTATAGATCACTCATATGATCTCTGCCACAACTAGAGAGAGTTAGGATCAGTTCAGTTGTCAAGCTGCTCTGTAGATCTCTTGATCTATGATCTCCAATATGATATTTAACATGATCTCTTATATGAAAATATCAAATTTGTCATAGATTTAGCTCTTTGCCAGGATCATAAACAAGCATCATGCAGTCGACTACGCCCGACTGCAATGTTTGTGCTACTTCTTCATTAGTTCCGTCATGCTCAACACCCAAAGGTTTAGCTTAGTTCAGCGTAAAGCCAATTTCCGGCAGTCCCAGTTTTAATTACTCGAAGCATTCCAAATGTAATTCAGATGCAGACTTGTCTAGGCAAAAGGGTATATTAGTTCGTGTGCATTTGCTGACTTTAATATAGGCATATATGCTCTATAGTTATACGATTTCTGTGCTTTGCTTCTTTGCAGGTAAAATGTACGCTGTGATTGGTAGACGTCATGGCAAAATCCTATCGGGCGACTTGACCCAGGGCAGCGGCAACTTCTCGGTGACCTGCCTGCTGCCGGTGATCGAATCGTTCAACTTTGCGCAGGAGATGCGCAAACAGACATCTGGCTTGGCCTGTCCACAGCTAATGTTTAGCCACTGGGAGGTAAGTGTGCAATCAGAGCAGCTGTTGCTGCTGCTGCTGCTGCAGTTGCTTGATATTTTTTGGGCGCAAGTCACAAAGTTGCCCCTCTTGCAACATATGGCATATGTGCGTGCTTTTTGCTCTTGCGGTCTGTCTTTGGTCAGCTAAAATCTCAGCTTACCTGCGCTGCTGCTGCTGCTGCTGCTGCTGCTGCTGCTGCTGCTGCTGCCTTCTGCTGAAGTCTTATAAGCTAAACCACAGCAGCAGCAGCAGCAGCAACAGTTGCTCTGAGAGTTATATGGTCCATTTGAGCTGCTGCAGCTGTGTGCAATATTTTATTGCTGCCACAACTCGGCCTTTCCCCTGACCTTGTGCAGTGCCCAAAGTTGAACTCAATGCCCACTTGGCCAGCGGATGGCGGATGGCGGATGGCGGATGGGCCCAAACAGCGGATGGGCTCGCTCAAAAAATGATTAATATATACAGAGGCGCAACACGCGTGCACCACACAAAGGCGTCAATTACGCTTTGGCAGGTGTCTCTGTGTGTGTGTGTGCTAGGCCTCGTAGATACCCTGTACTACTCTTAGTTCTTGGTCTTCAGAGAGTTTCAGTTGTCGGCTGTGCAGCAAGCTCCAAGTACACACGCTTAGGTATTAGCTATATGTATTTAGATGTATATAGGTGCCTGATAGTGTGCGTGTGTGTGTGTGTGTGTGTGTGTGTTGTATATCGCCCAACCAATCGATAACAACAAGTTTTTGTATAATGACTTCCGGTGATTTTCTATTTCTCAGCTGAAGTTTTGCCGGCAACGTTGTCTACGTTGCCTCTGTTGTTGTTGTTGTTGTTGCTGCTGCTGTTGTTGTTGTCTTTTTGCTGCTTTCGTATAATTTCATACGCATTTCCAGCGTCCGTCCGCAAAGGGAGGGACGCAGCACATTTGTAACTTTCCGTGGCGTCTCGTCGTGTAGAAATCTAAACGGAAACTAGTTTGGCCAGCAGCACAAATAAGTGCATTATTATTAAGACAATGGGAAAGCTAAAAAACAACGATATGTGGCTGTTGTTGTTGTTGTTGCTGTTGTTGTTTGCTGCCATCAATTAGAATGCGACAACAACAACGGCAACAGTCGTCGTCGTGATGTGTGTCACCTGGCGATTGAGTTTGTTCATTTCAAATCGAAGAGAAAAAAGTTTGCTGACATTTTAACACAATTAAAAGCAGTTACGCCCACGCACACGCCCACCTCCACACACACACACACACTCTGGTATGTCCAAGACTGACCGCGTGGGCGTGGGCGTGGGCGTGCTTTGTGGGCGCAGTTGTCACGTGCCCATAATGACAAGCAGCTGGCCAGAGGTGGGAGCAGCTGGGGGACTATTTGAATGTTGTTGCCACAATGATGCAGCCTACAAAGAATTTGTTAACAACGTCAACAGCAACAACAACAACAACAACAACAGCAGCAACAACAACAGCAGCAGCAACAACAACAGCAGCAACAACAACAGCAACATGAGCTGTTGCACTAAAAGCTAAGCAGCTTCATCTCTCTCTCTCTCTCTCTTTCTAATTCTCTTGTCCCTTTCTCTATCTGCCTGTATATCTCTTTATCTGACAATCTATCTATCTCTCTCTCTTTCTCTTTCTCTATCTGTATGCATATCTTTCTTTCTCTTACAATCTATCGCTCGCTCGCTATCTCTCTCTCTTTGACTTTCTCCCTCGCTTATTCCCTCGCTCTTCGTCTTTATCTCGCTCTATTTCTTTCTCCCTTTCTCTCTGTGTCTCTCTCTCTCATTCCTTCTGTATCTCTCGCTCTCTCTCTTTGCCTCTCTCTCTCTCTCTCTGTCTATCTTTCTGTCTCCCCATCCTTCCAGTAGAGTCCACTCCAGCTCTAAGCTTGATCCCTTTATGACAGTTCGATAAGTCAAAAACTACAGTTCGTAAAGTCCGTCAAGTTGTCTGCTCTATTGAAGTACAGCAGCATTAGGGCATATGTTTTATAATTAATTTACGCTTGGTATACTCTTTAAGGGTATTAAAACACACTCAGCACTGCTGAGAGCCCACCAGATATTCTCTTATCTCTATTCTCTACGTAGCTCTAGCTGACATCTGACAAGTTCTTAACGTTGGCTAAGAGTAGCCCTAATATTCACTATATTATATAAACCGCTAACTAGTTTAGTATTTTATATTATAATATATAATATATATATATTATTATATATATTTTGTATTTTATATTACATAAAACAACTTAAACAGTTCTTAGTAACTTTGTCTTCAATGAAGTCTACTTTTCTCACTTCTATCTCATTCTATATATTCCACATACGAGCCCCAACCACTATTAATTCGAACAGCA